AGCAGGAATTCTGCAACCGTTGTTCTATTCCCAGCATTTCCCGAAGTCGTTGAATTACGGTGGTATCGGCGTGGTGATCGGCCACGAGATCACTCACGGTTTCGACGACAAGGGACGCCAGTTCGACAAGGATGGGAACATGAGGCAGTGGTGGAACAACGCCACCGTGAGTGCCTTTCGCAAGAGAGCTCAGTGCATCGTGAATCAGTATTCCACATACAAACTGCAAGAGTTCGGTTTGTACATCAATGGGAGAATGACCCAAGGGGAGAATATCGCAGACAATGGAGGACTCAAGCAATCGTTCAGGGTAATTCGTTTAAAATCATTCTGCTGAAGGTGTCCATATTGTTCTGTACTCAAAAAGGGTTCCATTGGATCTTGGAGATTCATTTGAGGTTCAAAGTGATCGGTAGAATACTTGTTTAGGTCTACGATACTATATTTTATACCAGATCAAGCTTCATTTTTCAGTCAGACTCTTATCAGGGCATAGGCAGTACAGTGCATTCTTTTTTTTTGTACAATCCAGGCATATAAGAAATGGGTTTCCATACATGGGGAGGAACCACTGCTTCCTGGTGTCAACCTCACCCACGATCAACTATTCTTCCTGAATTATGCCCAGATATGGTGTGGTTCAATGAGGCCGGAGGATGCTTTGACAAAAATCAGAAGCAGTGTTCACTCTCCGGGTCCTATCAGAGTGCTGGGTCCCCTGTCAAACAGTGAGGATTTTGCCAGGGCCTATGACTGTCCTCCAGACTCTCCAATGAATCCAACGCATAAATGCAGTGTTTGGTAAATTCTACATTGAAATCCGCATGGAAACACTTCTCTGATTCTCACAAAAAAATGATACCATATTTACTTTAAATTATTGCTAATTTCTTTCAATAATGAATGTGTAGGTAATGTCAAGATCACAGAGGGAGTAGGCAGAAGCCGAGAGCACAAGAATTTTCTTACTATGGTTGGTTAAATCTAAAATCATAAAAGGGATCCTGAAGAGAATTATTGTTATCGTAGACGAATTTGTTCAGCTTGTATCAGTTGTCAGCCACGACGGGACCACAGAAGGCTAGCTTTATTATCGTCGTGGAACACCGTGGTGTGAATCTTGCGTTTGAAATTGACGGCCAGAGAATTCGAGTGTACTCAGAGGACATTCGAACGGATTGTATCTGCGTGAATGTGTACACGTGTGTTCGAGCTTATATGCGCGTGTGTGTGTGTCTACGCGTGTTTTAACATTTGCAGCGTCAGCCTAAAATACCATGGACAAGAATAACGTGTGTATGTGCAAATGCGTTTCAATTGTATGTACAATGTTTTACGTTTCAATCGCTTCTGTGTGATGCATCTCGTCATGGACGAGTCTAATAAAATTTTCGATCGAGAAACAAAAAGAAGAAACGAAAGCAAGGCTACTCTACATTTTTCTGTCCCATTTTTTTCAACAGACTTTTCATTCTTTTCTGCTGTAAATGTCGCTATTGAAGGAAATTCCTGCAGCCTAGAAGCAGGTTTGGTGAGCACGATTTAAAAAATGAATATTCAACTAATCCATCTGTCCCGGTGTACACAACTACATTATAACCAAGTATAGTTGATGAATCTATATGTTTAATGAAAAGATTAATTGAAGCAACTTTATTTGCATAAATGTAGGAATTATATTACATATTTTAAATTCCCCGTGTTGCCGGGAGGGTTACAGTTAATATATCAACCTGAAACTGGCTTGTAAAATGGTACTCTAATTGTCAAAACTCTGGAACCTTCTAGGATTTTCCAAAGGCTTGTGCACTACTGTGCAACTCACGCAAGCAAACACACACACTCACCCAGCATGGAATTTGGTTAATTAGGCCATGTGCCGTGTGGGTTGTGAATGTCCTACTAGAAGTTTCAAAGATCAATATTATGGATTATTGCTTCCGCTGTTTTAAATCAATATGTTCTTATTCTTTTTCGTATGAAATTTCATACATATAAGTACGACAGAGTAGATAGAGAGAGTGAGAATGTGATAACATGTATCATGTAGGTAACATGTAGATTATAATTTATAATCATTAATTTATTCATTATTCTTCATCGTTTCTAATTCTTCCTTCACTTTATACGATATAACTCGAATTTTTCTTTTGATGTCGTTAATATAAAATATACAGATTATGTGTCGCGTGTAAAGAACTGTTAGGTTTCTCCACCAATCAGAAACGATCACGAGAAATCACGAATCACTGTGAAAAACCACCGTGATTGGGAACGAACGTGATCGAATCACGAGTGATTCACAACAAGTAGCAGTTCACGCCATCTCTCGCGGCAACCCAAAGTGCGGCTGATTTCGATTGCATTTACACCGCTGAATGGTCATCATTTTCCTTCGGCACGCATTAGATTTGAAGTTTAAAGAACGTATATTAGTACTTTCTAGCGGCTGGGTACCAGTAATTACCAGAACATTGTTAAAATCACATTTATTTGCAACGGTTGACACTGTATCTCGTCATGCGTACCCCGGTTAGTTCACTTTGGACAGCTCTTACACCATTATACGGACAGCTTTCGTTTAGATAAAGCACTCGATTTGTAGCTGAAAGAACGTAGATTAATCCCTTGCCATTGACAATAACAATAAACGACCAGAGCACTGTTAAAACCGCATTTAATCGCGGAATACCACTATTTTTTAGACTGGTGGCGCCACCCGTGGCATTTCGCTCAAACTGCTAGCCAAATCATACCGACAGGCGAGTGAAAATTCCTAATGATAGAAAAATACGAATATCTCAGTAATTAGGCGCTGAAAAGGAACGCTGTTAGTCTCACATTAATCCTGAGGACTTAATGCATCGACGCAATACTGCAAGAACCACAGAGTTAATAAAATTATTTATACCTGCATTAACGTTGCCCTTATGGAGTGGCAACCTTGTTTGCGCAATTTTCTATCGCATTTACACAGCTAAACGGGCATCATTCTTCTTCGTATTGCATTAGATACGACGTTTAAAGAAAGTAGATTAATACTCTCTAACGGCTAGAAACCAGTAATTACAAGAACTTTGTTAAAATCAATTTGTTTGCAACGATTGACAATTTTATCTCGTCATGCGTACCCCGATTAGCACAGTTTAGACTACTCTTCCAACGTTATGCTGACCGTATTCGGCTTGACCAAGCATTCAGATCGAAGCTTAAAGAACATAGATTAATCCCCTGTCATTAACAGTAACAATAAACGACCAGAACATTGTTAAAATCGCATTTAATCGCGGAGTACCACTATTTTTTTGAACGGTGGCGCCATCCGTGGCGAATCGCTGAAACTGCTAGCCATATAATTGACTGTCAATTTCAGCGATTCGCCACGGATTTTTTTATTTTAACAGTGTTGTGGTCGTTTATTGTTATTGCCACTGACTGGAGATTAATCTACATTCTTTCAGCTACAAGTCGTGTGCCTGGTCAAATCAAATGCTGTCCATATAACGTCGTGAGACCTGTCTAAATATGAAGTAAACAAGGAGTGCTTGAGGTGACCCAGTGACTTCATCAATGTTTCCGGGGCTCTGTGATCCCGCGATCTCACCCCGCGGTGTGCCGGCGCCGCCACAGAGGGTTCTATGACCCCACGATCACACCTCACGGGTCACTGGTTTACTACACAAACAAACTACTGCCTACATGTTTTAAACTTGGGCTGTAGTAGTATCTG